TTGCCAACGCCAAGGTGCAGGACTTGATTGGGCTCATCTGCTGGCAGTTCACGAGCGAAGGACGGGAACCTAAGTTGAAGTAGGTCCTTTCAGAGAGTCCTCTAAAATCTCTCTCTCTCTCTCTCTATAGATAGATAGATAGATAGATAGATAGATAGATAGATAGATAGATAGATAGATAGATAGATAGATAGATAGAGGATAGGATAGGATAGGATAGGATAGGATAGGATAGGATAGGATAGGATAGGATAGATACATGATAGATAGATGGATGGATAGATAGATACGTTGAGTGGATAGATAAGATAGATAGGTACAAGATAGATAGACAAACAGACAGACACATGATGGATAGGTATCATGAATGGAAAATGAATGGATAGATGAATAGACAGATACGTTAAGTAGATAAGATAGAATGGATAGATAGATGGATGACAAAATGAATAGATACTGTAGATGGATAGATAAATACATTGAATAGATAGATAGATAGATAGATAGATAGATAGATAGATAGATAGATAGATAGATAGATAGATAGATAGATAGATAGATAGATAGATATAGATAGATAGATAGATAGATAGATAGATGGGTACAAGATGGATGGATGGATGGACAGACGGACAGACAGCAACAGCAAATCACTTCTAAAAAACTTTGCCCAAAAACCTGCAGGGACTTGTCCAGAGAGTCTCCAAGAATTGGACACGATTGAACGGAAAACACACACACACACACACACACACACACACACACACACCAGATAAATCTTACCACAACACTTCCCCATTTATCAATATTCCCTTCCGAGCTCTGCGTACATTTATATCTATTTCTCTTTCAATTAAATTACCGGGTAGTGTATAATGACAAGGCTACGAAGATGGTGTCATATAAATGAATAATCATTTGGAGATGCACTCCCTTTTGGGGGTGTGGGTGTCTTGTTTGTTTGGTTTTTTAAAAAAGACAAATCACCTCCACGTCGGGTGTCACTACACAGGTAGCCTTTTCACGTCCCTGAGGGTTGAAGCTGCTTTTTTTTCTTTCTTTTTTTTGACAGGTGGGAGTGAAACAGCACCTCATTTCCCTAAATTCAGATAGAGTGAGGGGACACATTTCTCTTTCTTAAGCTGCTCAGACCTAAGAAATGAGTCTTGAGTCTTGCGTGTTTCTGGTTTGCTTAATTTCGACTGCCTTTTAATCGGACTGGAGAACTTCTCGGCAAGCGAGAGTTCGCACCTTCCTTCTCTAACCGCCCGTTTGTCTGAGGATGGAAAGCCAAGCGGAAGCGTAGAGGCCCAAAGCGTAGATTATCCAGAGAGAAACCGTCACACGACGTGGAAACATGGTTGGCCTAGTTCAGGGGTAGGCAACCTTGGCTCTTTTATGACTCGTGGACTTCAGCTCCCAGAATTCCTGAGCCGGCATGGCTCAGCTTGGAAACCTTTCCCTTTCCCCTCAGCATGGCTGGCTCAGGAATTCTGGGAGTTGAAATCCACGAGTCATGAAAGAGCCAAGGTTGCCTACCCCTGGTCTAGGGTCTGCAATGAAGTGTCTGCAAGAAAACCACCAAGCTCAGAAGGCATCATGGACCCTTTGGTCGTGTGAAAATCGACCATAACCCACCTTTTTTTCCCAATGCCCGGTGTAAGTTGGAACAGTCACTAAACGAACGATTGTAAGTCGAGAACTGGTTGCATCCCAGGAGCCTGTGTTTTCTGGTTAACTGTTTGTTGAACAGATACACAAGCCAGAGACACTTCAGGGGCTTGTTATTACCTCCCTAATATAATTAATGACAGCTTGAGGATGAATCACCTGGAATAGGCACGCTTGGCGAACAAAGTTACCAGCCCAAGTTATGCGAATTAATTGGGGAAAATAGCGAATCAGGGAGTCGGCAAAATAATTCACTGTCACATCCAATCAATAAACTTTGTAAATCAACTCATTTAATGCCGCTTCCAAAAATGATCCATATAGATCAAGCAGCCAATTAAACAATTAACATGCGCTTGACTATTAATTAATTTCAGCATCAGTCAGAGAGTGCAAACTTCCACTTGGACTCGTCCAATGGAACGAGGAGGGAGAGGGTAAAAAAATCAAGTTCACAAGGGGATAAAAACCCAGGGCAGCAACGATTTGCCTCTTCGTATTCCCAAATATTCAAAGCCCTTTTTAAAAATAAAAAATCTTATCTATTTGGTAAACGTCTAGGGAGCATCTCCGTGGACATTTACCAAACTCAGCGTCACAAATCATGATTCATAAACTTGAGTTTCTTTCTTCCTGTGTGGGCCTCCCAACTTCTCTTTCTCCTGCTTCCTCGCAGCGACAATGTCAGCGCGTACTGCCTCCACATTGCTGAAGACGATGGGGAAGTTGACACTGATTTCCCGCCTCTGGATTGCAACGAACCCATTCACAAGTTCGGCTTCAGCACGCTGGCCCTGGTCGAGAAGTATTCATCGCCGGGCTTGGTGGCCAAGCAGTCCCTTTTTGTCCGAATGTAAGTCTCTTCTGTCTCCTATTTATTGATCAACTAACTGATTGCTCTAAGAATATGAGTACGATAAGCTCATACAGTAATGAAAGACCAATGGAAGAATGATCCTCAAAGTATCTTAAGAAACATTTGTTGTAGAACACAATGCATTGGGGATCCAGTCCTGTATCAGGGGTTTAGCCTGCATTCCTTCCCTGTAAGTCTGGGAAATGTATATGATCAATGCTCTCTTTTCTGTTTCTTTTCTCTGATTTTATTTCACCCTCCATATGTTTGTGAGATGGACAGCTATAGGAGGAGAGAAGGGGGAGGAAGGAAAGGAAAGGAAAAGAGAAGAGAAGGAAAGGAAAGGAAGCTGAATAGCAATGCCGATACACACCTATCATCTGCAGCCCTGTGGCCACTGAGAATTCCGGAAGCTAAAAATCCAGCTTATTGGAGCACACCATTCGATTTCTAGAAGACGAGCAGGCTGAGCTGGAAGGCGGAGTTAAACATGTCATCAGTTTGGAATCATTGCCTTGCTAAAAGAGGCCCAAGTCCAGCCCTGTGAATTCTGTGGACCTTTTATCTAGCGCCAGTTTAGCTTTGACCGTTAGTTGGCCAGATTCTCTTGTACAGGTAGCGACACCAAGCTCTTCTACTGACTCTTCTATAGTTGAAGTCGGAAGACATTTTGAATGGCACCTTTTCCTGCAGAGGTGAAGGAGGCAGCCAGAGTTTGCACACTCAGAGGTTTGCGCCCAAGTCACTGTTCCATCATCACCTCCGTTGTTCGACTCGGCTCCCCACCAGTGGTTGGAAGAGAACACCTCCAAGCCTTTAAATACCTTGAACTGAGCGCCGAACGTCTTTGCCGTTACAGAGAGTGTTAAATAATTGAGTTTGATTAGGGAAAGACACCTCATTATCCCCCCCCACCTGTGCCCAGCTGGTAGGGGAGGGCCGAAATGAAGCTATTAGCTGTCTCTCTGTCTGGCATCGCCAGGCGCTGAAATACATCTGTGTCTTATTTTCTCTTTTGGCACCATCACTCGAGAGAGCTAAGCAGGCGTGACCGATTTTGGCAACTCCCAAGGACTCTGGCAAAGTTACACAAGGAGAAGGCAGAGGGCAGCCATCCCAGCTTTGAACGAGGCCATTAGTCTCCCATGCTGATGGCTTTGGAGAAGGCCGTCAGGCTAAAAAAAGGTGGCATTCTTGTCTTGAGGTCAGGTGCCAAGTCTACTTCTCCCCCATTTCCTTTGGGGAGGCAGGATTTTTTTTTTCCCCCAAGATGAGTCTTGGGGTACCCTGGGATGTCTGCTTGCTTCCCCGGAAAGCAAGATTCTTCCGAAGTTCGTTCACCGAGGTTTCTTAGATCAAGTTGCAAAAATCTCAACTACCAGATTGTTTTCCAGTCTGGAGGGTTTGGCCAATCAGTTTCTTGATGCTTCTAAGAGAAGGACCTGTTCAAAGACTTGGATCACCTACCGTGAAAGGCGCATCATCGTCCCTTCAAAGGTTCCAACTCTGTGACCACAACAGGTCCCTCTGTCCTTGAATCGACCTCCTCAACCCAGGGCCTCTTCCTCATGTCCTCGTCTGTTGTCGGGCACAAAGGATCAGGGCCACCTGTCAAGCCCCAGGGACATCAAAAAATCCAGGCAGTTCAAATGAGCATAAAAATGTATTGTAAGCTTAAGCTCTCTACAAGAATCTGACCTACTAATGGAGAAAACAAATTGGCGGTAGATAAGAGTCAAAGGAGTTCAAGGAGGGCTGGACTTACATCCCTTGTGGGCGGGACTCATGAGTGATGACGCGTTTGACCCCCTCCCTATCTATCTCTCTTTCTCTCTCTCCATCCATCCATCCATCCATCCATCCACCCACCTACCTACCTACATTTCTACCTTATCTATCTATCTGTCTGTCTGTCTGTC